AATTAATAATATTCAGCTCTTCTTAATAAAGAATCTAATTCGCAAGTCATCGACTTAATAGCCTTTTTTCAATAACACTAAAGCTGAATACAACAATGAGACTGTAATTGCAGCTTGTGATCAAGACAACACTACAGCAGCTGAAAGAAATAAAACAACGCTCATTGTTGATGCACTAAATTTACAGCCATTTGCAATAGTGGATAATGAGGGTAATGAAGAAACTGCACTTGCAAATGAAAAAGTTATTTGTAGACTCATTTCAAAGAATAAACCAATAATACCAGTATTCAATCAAAACGACCATATGAAGATACTCGTAATACTATGTGTATTAAATGCACTCCAGAAGTCAACGACGATCTTCGCTACTTATTTGGGATTTCTCCTTATGCAAAATTACTACAACAACGCCAATATGTTCCGTTAACTGACGAAATTTGTAAACTTATGAATATGGATCTGGAACTTCATCCCCAAGTGATTTTCTTTACAGTTGTAATATTGTCTGGAGCCATCACTGTTAATACAAATAATAATAAAGCAATAATGTTAAACACGGCTGAGGTATATGGTAGGACTAAATCAATAGATCACCATCGTGAACCGTATGGAAAATTAAAGGATGGTGTTCAATCCACATCTTTACCACCACCCATCAAGACTATGCATCAAGATGTGTGGCCAAATGTATTAAAAAGACAAGATGGTAGCAAGCTGATAATTGGTACTCAGGTATCAAACGTATTCGCTATGGGAAATTTCCTATAGTGATTAGTAACATCTAGTATTCGTATAGATGAAAAGATAGCTGCTTCTGTAGGTGGAACAATATCCGGGTTTCATCTAAACACTTTGGAGGATTCCTTAGGCTGCAAGATTTTCATGGATCTAGAATGTTTGAAGTTGGCCAAGGAGATAATTAGCAAACCAGAATCAGAATTTACGTCAGAAGTTAGGATTCTTAGACATCAATTAAGACAAATTCGAATTCATTTTGATTCACCATCAACTTATGCCCTCTGCCGCGCCTCTGGCCCTCTTGCTAAAAGTCATACATGCCATCCTTTTACCCTCTTTACATTAAATGAACGTGACCGTGGACGTTCTGCCTACACATCAATTTTTAAGGTAATTACAAATGAAGTTTTGAAAAAACAGGAAAATGGTGCTCTCTGCAAGGAACATGTCAAGGAATGGATTGATCAAGCAACTGGAAAGCCAGCACAAGTATTAGCAAATATACTCAACTTGTATAAAGAAGAAGAAGAGGAACTTCCCATCCTTTTCAACAGTAAACTTAACAAAGAATAGAGTACTTAGTCGAACTTTTAATGCCTTCCATTATCTCAGCTAATAGTGTTGTTGAAAGCCATATTAAACAGATCTTTGAGCTCTACTGTTGAGAATACCCCAGCCCCTCGTATTTGTAACTTAACATCATTTGTTTATTTATCGAATCATAATAAAGATTATATAGTTCTTATTTTGTATTCTATTGCTTAAGTGACTAAAAACACAACACCATGTTTAATTATCGTTGTTGGATTCTAAGATGACTGTGTTTTTTTAGAGTTGAACTCACAACATTAGGTTCACTAACCACACGAGAGAAGATCGCCTTATTGGAACCTGTTATTACCCAAAAAATAACACGACCTGTTCAAATTGTTACTCTGTAGTTATACCGTTAGTGTGCATGGATTATTTAGGTTTCAGTGATTATATTTTATTTACGATATTCAAAAGAATAAACTTTTGTTTTGTGTTGGATTTACTTTTATTGTACAGAGGATATCACAAAAACAAAAATGAAGTGCAATACAATGTGGTATAATTATAGAAGCTGCTAGAGTTTTTCACAGCCTTACGCTTGGAAGGCGTGTTGTATGGGAAGAATATTCACATGGATTATTTTTAAAAAAAAAAAAAAAATAAATAAATAAATCGCGAATAAAGCATTGAGAGGTTTACACAGTGTTTAAAAATGAGAGCAAATTAACAATCCATAAACTTAAGCAGGAGCTATATGTTTTTCCGTGAAGTTCATTTGTTCCTAATTTTAAAAGGCCCAAATTTTACAGTATTAATTTTGTCAATGGGTGGTTTTAATCTTTTCAAAGGGCGTGTTTTTTTGTCTTTATATAAGTACGCTTTTATTACTTCCTCAATTTATATATAATGCTTAAATAGGCTCCTCATTTAAGCACTTTTGAAAGACATTAATAGAGTGCTGGGCGAATGTTTTTAAGTGCTTGGGAGAAACAGAGTTACAAGCCTCGGCAATTCTGGTAGCCAGGCCCTCAGTAGCTTCGAATTGGCTACGCTTAACTTTGTCTTTTACTATTTCCCAAAACTGCTCAATAGGGTTCAGATCTGGAGAGTAAAGAGGAGATAAATGTTCCTATATACTCTCAACGATTAACTGATCGATTCTTTGGCGGTGTGGATAGATGCATTATCCATTACTATGTAATGACCCTTTAGCTCAGGAAATTTGTCCATCTCATCCATAGTTTCTGCAAGAAATTCTAGGTAATGTTCAGTAACGGTGCCTTTCAAAGAAGGCTTTTTCTTAGTTGGCACTTTGATACGCTTCGGCCACCTTTCTTGAGGATTTCGAAATCCCATAGATATGACATATTTAGCCGAGATGGCGCCCAATATGGTGTAAGATACAGCTCTTCCAGATGGAGATACCATGACTGCAGGTGTTCCTTTTGTCGATCATCCACTAGAAGGTCTCATATTGATGTTAAAAGCGGTTTCATTGACAAAAACACAATTTTCAATGTAATTCAATCACTTGCGTTCCATCTCAGGATCCATTTCATTCCATCCTTAATTTTCGCTTCACTGTTTCTTGCGGCTGGTTGAGTGCTCAATCGTTTGAATGAAAGATTACATTTAATCTTCAAAAAGTCATGAACAGTGCTCTTTTTTTATACTGAGATCTGCAAAATTTTTCTGTAAGGGAATCCATTGCATCCACTACTCGTGCTTGGGGATACTCGTCATAAAAGTTGAGATGAAACTTGTGCATGTCACCTAACTGAGGCTTGGTTCTATTGATCAGGTTGGTTTGCTTTTCTAGTATATTCCAATCTTTAACTTTTTTGAGCCTTTTCGTCCATTTCTGGACTGTACGCTCACTAATTCCACCTGCTAAGCGCCCTGATTTTGCGGCATTGAACAGCTTTACCTTGTTGAAATATAAAATATAGAAAAAGATGCTTTTGTTCATTTGAATATTTATTGTAATATTTTTCTGCTTTTTAGCTGTTGCCGGAATATCCCCCATAACCTCGTTCAAGTTCTCAACTGCAGTTGTTTATTCATTTTTTTGCAATTCATAATATTGCCTAATACGTGTTAAAGTTGTAAACTGAAATGGAGTAATTCCATCATCCCACTCCATAATATCATTTTCTTCATAATAAAAGCGAGAAAAAAAAAACCGCCCTTTGAACAGATTAAAACTGCCCATTGAAAAAATTAATACCGCCCATTGGCGTTGGAACGACTGTAAATATCCGAATACAAAAGTTGGCGAAGCGAAGTCAAAAAATGTGGTACACCCGCCCAATTGGTATCAAACATGGCTTCAAAGGTTTTTTAACTAGTTTTTAAATTTATTATATGTATAAAGAAGAAAGGGGATTATTTAGTTATTATTTTATTAAAAAAGGAAAATAAAGCGCGGCTCTTGGAGCCTGTACCACATTGAATGACGGAGCGGAGCCAACAAGGATTGCTGTAGGCACGACCAACAATCATTATCTGACTCTGACTAATAAATAAATCATCTCTTTCTTTCATATTCTAAACTATTGGCCCTGATACCATAATACAGTAGAAAGTCGGTAGTTATATTAGACGCCGGAAGAGTGGCTAGATAGTTTAAGATATATAATTAATATAAAGGAAGTATGTTTATCACAATAAACCGTAACTAGACTTTTGAGAGGAAAATAAGGTAATGTTTATTCAATAGAACTTTAGGAATGTTTATACCAATTGTGATTATAAGAGGGGGTCTGTGAATTTCAAGTATTGTTGGTTATAATGAAGAGATAATATTTAACATTGATTATTCAAATGATGACGCCTCACGAAAGATAATAATGACGTCTCTCAAGTGATAGCAGTGGACCGGGATTTTTCATTTCGCGTTTTCTTCTTGCACAAAACAGGTCATAAACTAGATTACGTTTTATTGCGATGGCAACACTGACTAAGAGTAAGTATTACGAAAAGGTCGTTTTGCCACGTCTAACTCAACGCTTTTTTCTTCTTTTTCATAGAGCTTCAGCTTTACGCGAAAAATAAAAAAAAACACTCTTTGGCTGATTTTTTACAAGTAAAGATGCATAAAATCTTGTTTTTAGATTACATTGCTCAATATGCTACACCAAACAGCGCAGAGAAGGCTGTAAAACTCAAATGCCAGAAAATTCGAAAAAATTTCTTGACCAGCAAGAATGCTTTTATAGACGTAGACTGGAATCTTCTCTTAATGCAGGCAAAAGCGCGCCAAAAAGCTCTTGAAAAAGGTACAGCAGTGTTGGCTGCAGCTACAGGAGAGGCTGCGAACACGCTTGAAAATTTGTTCAATGTATGTTTAACACTTCATCAAAATCTTTCTTTTTTCTCATTCCTAAATCCTGAAAATAGGGACAAAACGATTATGATGAAGGAGGTGAAGAGGAAGAAGTGGAGGAAGAAGAAGCACAAATGCATGAAGAAGAACGAACAGAAAAATCAGAGACAGAACAGACACAGGAAGCAGAAGCAGAACAAACTCAAGGCCAAGAAAAGTCGAATGGAAAGAGAAAGTATCAAGAGATGGCTTCAGAAAAGTACGAACTTACGGCGGGCGCTTGTCCAAAAGACGGATATTTGCTACCAAGTGGCACCATAATACATGAGAACTGGCATAAATACAAAACGCATGCTGTAAATAAGATGAATCAAACTGGCTTGTACCTTGCTGCTGAGTTATATGAGGTTTTGTACGTATTTTTTTTTGCACTTGACTGACTTAAAATGAACCTCTACAAGAAACTAACTTTGGAAATCTTTATAGCTCTTTGTTTCACATATTTTTACTTGTACCCGACCACTATAGCAAAACAATGACTAAGATTATTGACATACAGATTATTGAAGAGTTATACAGGACCTTGAAAGAAAAGTACGTGGATGCAGATATTTGTATTTCTGATGAACTGCAACTTGGCGTTACCAAAGTATTGAGGGTAAGTTCAAACAGTTGTTTGTGGACTACAGTGCTATAAAATGTGACTCAATATTCATTGTTACTGTAGAAACTGGTAGTGGAGGATAGAAAGGCAAGTCGCCGAGATTTTGAGCTTGAGCTCTTGGTCCTTTCACAAGCTTTTGAAGAAGACGAACGCGTCTTGGTTGATGTTATAAGAAGTTGGTAAGATGAGCTGCACTTATTATGTGTTGTAATAGTATTTCATTAATCAAACAAATAGCATCCAAAAGCTCCCGTCTACTGACTCGACGCATGAAATTCGGGAAATGGAGTTAATCACCACTTTTATTGATCCCGTGCTTGCTACAATGTTAAATAGACCTGAAACAAAAAAGTGTTTCCGCTGGTAAGTTGGTTAATAATCCGCAGTTTGTTTTCAATTGCTAACAACTTCTTTTTGGTGAAAATAAAAGGTTGAACCAGCAAGTCATTGAATATGGCACGGAGCCAACAAACTTACGTCCTGACGCTATCATGGCACTTGATCCCACTTGGCATGAGACATATGCTATTGGGTATTGTGAGGTGAAGACAAGTGCAGCAGAAAAACACCACCAAGACACACATCTAGACACATTAAGAACGGCTTTATTTTGTAAAGACGCATTGGATAGAGGTGAAATCAAGTGTACTTTGGGTGTTCAGGTTGTTGGTAAGATTGATTCCTCTTAAAAAATTGACATCTGTAGACCGTTTTCTTACCATATTTTGAAGGTTTTTGCGTGCAAGTTTATCTCTGCTCATTAGAATCAGAAGCGTTGTACCCTTTCTTCCTTCTTGAGAAATTTGAAGTGCCTAGCTCTTTGCTGAAGTTACCAAAGTTCATCAGTGAACTCGACAAGTTGAAAAGAATACTAAAAGCATACAACAATCATTGTGTGAAAAAGTCTCGGATCGATATTGACAAACTGAAGCGACCTTCAATGCCAACTGAACATCTGTTTAAGATTCTGAATGTTGTTGTTCCGACAAACTTTAAACCTACGCTTGTCTTCAAATGATTGACCATACGTCCATACCCACACTCACATATTGATATCCTTGACGTTAGTTTCTGTTATCATTTCATGCCCAATCCAACTCCTTCCCTAACAGCATGTGAATAAAATGCCAGCATTTGCTCATTCTCATTATCATCCTCTATTATTTACAGTATGTATATATATCTTATAAAGTTCAATTTGATAGTCATGTTTTATTTTCAAAGGAAAAAAAAGTTTGGTAAAAAAGCTGGCTGCAATAGGGTATATAGATATAATTGTTTTAGTTAAACCGACACTAATGCCTGTATTCAGCATTGCCTTGCTCATCAGCCTGGCCATTACTTGCTTTATCTATGCCTGTCTACAAATAAACAAAAAATATTTTTTTTAATAAAAAGAAAAGAAAAAAGCTAGCCAAAATACACTTGAACGTACGTTAAACAGATTTTCAAGCGTGTTCGCAGCCTCTTCTGTAGCTGCAGTCAACACTGCTGTACTTCTCTCAAGAGCTTTTTGGCGTGCTTTGGCTTGCATTAAGAGTAGTTTCCAATTGACCCCTTCGACAAACTTTTTACTCATAAAGTTTTTGCACTTTCTTTTGCTCGCTACTTGTGCATCCCGTGGTCTAGTGTATTGGCAAATGAAATCTAAGAAACTTCGTTTGTATCGTGGATCTTCAAGAAAATCAGCCAAACGAGGGTTTTTGGCATTTTTGGCATATAGCTTCAGGTCTGTAGAAAGTTTTTTAAGTAAATGAATCGGATTTTATCAATCCCTTCGATTATTACTTTCATTGAGGGAGGGCATGTCTAAATATGTTGCTGTGAGTCGAAATAGTAGAGAAGGGGACGACTAATTAAGACTTCAAATTGTTTCACGAATAAAAAAAAATGACGTATTCGATAGATCCGCTAAAAGCCCATGACGAATTAATTTTAGGGCGGTGGAGACTACCTTCTTAAACCTTCATCACTAGGAATCTTATGAACTGAATTTCAGTTAGTACTAATACTATGCATGTTTTGTAACGACTAATATAGCCAAAATTCATTAAAGAAGTTTTGTAAAGGGAGTAAGTCTAAAAAAGTAAAAAAGCTCTCATAGATTTCCTTAATTATAATCATTTCGCTATCATTTTATCTGAATGCGAAATTACATTTTTTACAGCATACAATCTGCTTTCTTTTCCTCATTTTCATTTATAATCCTACTGGCAAACAAGTAACGGCAGAAGGAATCCAAAGCGGCAGTGTCCTTGCGGCCCCCGCGGTGGTAACCCTGTGCGAAAGCCCGGTGCCCTAAGTGAAGGCTGCCTCAATTGCGTGCTTTGGCAAGGCAGCTGGAGCGCCGCCGTACTTGCTTTGCATCTATTTTCAACAATACAAGACACAAAGGCAAGTTCTTTGACCATCGCTACTTTGAAGATGTATGTTCAAATCCTAATACTAACCAACGTTTTTATTTGTTACATTATGTATAAGACCCACCTTTTTTCTAACGGTCGTGCAAGTAGAGCCAAGGGCTATCAACTATTATGTAATTGTCGATATGTTCCAGATATAAGGTGGTTACAGTGCTGTTGTACTTGCGTTTTTCATGAATCATGCTACCACTCACAATCTTACTGGCAAACAAGTAACGGCAGAAGGAATCCAAAGCGGCAGTGTCCTTGCGGCCCCCGCGGTGGTAACCCTGTGCGAAAGCCCGGTGCCCTAAGTGAAGGCTGCCTCAATTGCGTGCTTTGGCAAGGCAGCTGGAGCGCCGCCGTACTTGCTTTGCATCTATTTTCAACAATACAAGACACAAAGGCAAGTTCTTTGACCATCGCTACTTTGAAGATGTATGTTCAAATCCTAATACTAACCAACGTTTTTATTTGTTACATTATGTATAAGACCCACCTTTTTTCTAACGGTCGTGCAAGTAGAGCCAAGGGCTATCAACTATTATGTAATTGTCGATATGTTCCAGATATAAGGTGGTTACAGTGCTGTTGTACTTGCGTTTTTTACTACTGCCTGTATCTTTTTGAATCTTCAAATCAAGAAAACTGCACTCCTTGAGACTGGACCTGGTCAGACCTAAAGCATATCCAGCGCATTACAGGCGGATAGGGTGGTGTTGGGCTATATATAAGCAGATAATTGGCATATGTTATATTCGAAAGAAGAATGCAGCCTTTTACGTTTAGAGTATTTACATCATGTTGATGCATCTGTGGCAAATTAGGAAGAATTTGTACTAAAAAAAATAATAAAAAGAAAAGAAGTCGAGTAAAGTCCTTTAGAGATTTATTCAGAAAAGAAATTACTTAAGTGGGGAGACCTAATTACAGATTTGAGTGGTATAATAATAATAATGGATCTCATGGTGGTGCAAGTCCCTTACGGGTAACTTTCAAGTGAGGTGTATTGCCGCTAAAAAAATTACTTTATCAATTTACACGCAAAGATCAATACACGCCATGAATAGCCAACACAAGAGTATGTATACTCAGGATGAGGAACAAAATTTAGGAAACATATACAAGAATTGAACAAAAGACTGTAACTCTTAACAGAAATAAGCATAGTATTTCTTAAGTGATGATTAAGTTTAGTTTTTGATATAGTAAAACCCTTGAATTCTTCAGATAAGCGATCAATAATATCTTTAGTAAACAACTGAGGGTCCTTATCAACTATGCTCTGAACGAAGTCCTGGTGTGTACTTGTAAATAAGCATTCTGGTCCGCTATTGAACCTGGATTGCTTGTAGGGAACCTCTCCACTCTTCTGGTACTGAACCCACCATCGTTGAGCTGTTCGAGGGTTTATACCAAGTTGCTTAGCAAGTCGGGTTGCTCTCCCTCTTTCTTCGGGGCTTTCAAGTATTCGATCAATCAAAATCTCTCTTGTACTGTCACTGTAATCGGTGTATTGAGTTGCTGAAGTTTTTAATTTGCTTGCTATAGGCTTTGCTGTTTCTTTCTCCACAAAAGGTTTGCTAACTGAGGGCCTTGTTGTCGAAAGATACAATTTTTGTGTAGTGATAGGTTCAAGAACGATGTTGGGATCCGCTATCTGTGTTAGAACGTCCTCCATTGGGTCAAAAGCTTTTATTCTCTGTTCATAAACATTTTCCTGTCCATCGTAAAAAAAATTTGGGTGGTCATTGCGTAGTTTTTACAAGAAAAAAATGGTGAATATAACTTGACATTTTGAGCCTCTAACCTTGGCGACAAGCATTTTAAAAATTGCCAGCAACAAATTATTTTCAGTTAAGCGACCTTTATTTTCATATCCGCGCCAATTATATTTGAGGAAACGACATTTAATTTTTTCAAGACATATTCCACCGTTCTCACTGTATCCGAATAGAGAGAGAGTGTGTCAACCTTTTTTGAAGGTCCCATTTCTATTTCCGACTATCATCTAAGAAAAAAAAGCCGTTTCCTCTTTTCATTCCTAAAACAATTACTCAAATGCAATCTATAAAGATTACCAACCCAAACGTATTTACACCACCTGATACTGACTCTGATATTGACTATGATTCAATTGATCTGTCAGATGTGTTCAAGTAAGCATTTAAAGTCGCTTTATTGAATAATGATTGATTATGAACATAGGCCAACAAAATATGTTTATACTTATAAACATAAAATGAACCTTATCAAGCTAGGCTGTGCTCTTGGTTCAAGGGACGACTATAAATTAAAGTTTAAGAGATACTCTGTAAGTGGCAATAACGACAAAAAAGCGCGTTCAATATAACGACTAATAATATCAGAGAGCAACTGACGAACAGTACGTATCAAGATACAAGGAACACTTGCAAAAATTACAAGAACAACGGCAGAGATACTTGGAGGAAGAAAATAAAAGACGCGAACAAGCGCGTAAGGAAGCAGGAGAAATATTGGCCAGTTTAAAGAAAACGTAATATACATTGTTTACAGTTCTTGTTTTTAACCAATAATTTATATAAATAGAACACTTGAAGACGACGACGATGATGACGATGAAGCATTTGAAGAGGAACTAAGACGGCAAAATGAATTGATTGAAGCTGCTATTAAATATGATAAAGAACGAACAGAATCAGAATTAGCCGCTGAAAAGGAACGTGAAGAGAAAGAAAAGAAGCAAAAGGAAGAGGAAGAAAAGAAACGAAAGGCAGAAGCAGAAAAGAAGGAGAAGGAATTAAAGCTGGTAGGTTAATACTCTTTTTCTTTATTTGTTTTATTAACATAAACTAGCAACGTTCTTCTGCTACATCACCAGAAGGTTTAGAAGAATATAAAAAACACTATGCCAAAATTGAATACTTCAAGGCTACCCTCAAACCTAAATTGGCCAATGATCCAACCTTTAGAAAGCAAATTTTTGAGGCACGCAGATTAGTCAAGCGTACAGTAGCCCAGTTACAATACAAGCATAATGTTATTTTTGAAAAGGTAGAGCGTAAGATGCCCTTTACCCGAACAAAAACTGACGTCTTTGGCTATAGTACACAGTCATGTACAACCATCTCACAAGTATCAAGGCACAATCACAAGAAGCATTTGAAGTGCTCCTTAACTTTCTTGCAAAGGCTTTTTTAGCTCAAGTGAAGCAAGAAGTCCATGCAACACCATTTGCCGCGTATTTTTTAGCCCGTTTTGCCTATTTACTAATTAGCACTATTCCAGAGTTTTTAGACTATCTCATGGGACGTCTTTACAAACGATGTCCGTACCTCATTCCTCAGTACCACGATGATGATCCAGTAAGTTCTATCATGACTCTTGGATTCCCCTTTTCTCTGACTGTTCTATAGACACTCACAGTTGACGAAATAAAACGCAGACTACGATATGATTATACTAGCAAAGAAGACAAGACCTTTCAAACGTTTTTACAGCACTCTGAACAACAAAAATGCTATGTTATGTTTTATGGTGCTCTCTGTCAAACGAAACCTGATCCTGGTCAACCCGAGAACCCATATCCTATCAAGCACGCATGGGTCTGGTTAGCACGTATATGTAACATGCCTCCACGAGAGATCACACCCATTCTAGTCCTTGGTCTACTTGAAGTTTCTGCCGAACGACTGCTAGAGGCTTATCCAACACAAACACCCAAACTATTCCGCTTAATCCGTGAAAAAATTTTACCTATGTATCCTAAATGTGATAATAACGACAATGTGGGCGGCATGACTCGTTTAGAAATGCTTTTGGACGACTACTTTAAGACTGGCCAAGTGAAATGTATATCGGAATCGCTCCCTGCACAGATATAAAAAAAAAAAAAAGAAGCATTTATTGATTACTTGAATAAAAATCATTATAATCTAGCCGTGTTGATAGAGACCTCAAGTCTTCATCATGATAGGATTTCAATATGTCCAAGAACTGCAAGACCTGTGCTGTAAATGCGTTTTCGACATCCTGGTGGTTTCGCCGAATCCTGCTCAATCGCTTATCACTGTCGCCTTCTAGAGCGTACTTGCTATGCCGTCTGACAGCCTCATTTGAGGCATACCCATGGAGGTGATCAAGCACAACCTTGTATTTCAGGATACAATCAAACAAGTCATTCAACCGATCTGCCAATTCTTTTTTCTTTGGCCCACTCAAGAAGCCCTTTTGAGTGATCTCGCTTAGATAGCTTGCATGAGACTTAATGATCGAATCAAGATCAATACTATGATTTTGAATATTGTCTTCTAGCTTCTTCCATGAACACTCGAGTACTTCAAAAATAACATAATGTTGGAGCTGGTATATAAAATGAATCATGCGCTGTATGGTCATCTGAGCCTGGTGTAGATCTTGCGAAAGATCTGGCAGCTCTGAAAACTCACGACTAACTTTGCCCCACTGTCTCCAAGAAGCAGACAAGGTGTATTCAACACGCTTCAAGCGCCAGAGAAAATTAAAGACTTGGAGGTATTGAAGCATAGAATTGGCATTGATGACTGTGTTGATGGGTGTTTCCATGCGATAGTCGAGAGTGAATACGTCCCAACCGATATCATCGTTTTGAATCTTGAGTAGTCGAACGTCCAGTCGGTTAAGGATCGCTGGGTCGTCGTATTGTGCATTGGATGACCGAATGGCTGTTTCAAGTACGCTCGTAAGGTTGTGACGAAGCAGAGTGGTGGCAGGTTTGTTGAGTGTAGCTCTAGATATTACATATAAGAATAAAATCACGTTAAAAAAGAAAAAAAAAAATTACCCTAAACCATCCATGAGATATTGAATGAAATCACCTTGGCCTAATAACATATATCGCTTCAAAGCACGCAAGTGGTCCATCAGTTTATACTTTGTTTTGAGTAAATTAAGCAATGTTTTGCTGGTGTCCATATAGATTGCATCAATCGTTCTTTCCATCGTCTGTATTTCACCATACTTGAACACATCTGCCGCATTAGCAGGTACATCATATTGAGCATCTATACCATGACAGCTACAACGCATAAAATTAAGTGATTTTCCAATAGCAAAGATCTTTTGAGCAAGGTCCTTTGAGAAGAAGGAAGGTAACATAGGTTCACGTATCGAGTACTTGCGTTGCCAAAGATCTTCTTCCGGCACATTCATATCACAGGCGACAAAGAACTCTTCATATGGATCGTTCAGTTCGCCTTCAAATACCCAACGCTGAAGCATATCGTAAAATGGCTTGGACACTGACCGGAGCATCTGCGTGACAAAGGTTCTGGCAAATGGGTCACCATGCTTTGTATAGTTGTGCAGTATCGTAAGCATGGCGCCTCCTTTCTGACCTAATATATACATGAGTATGGATGCATAAGAAAAGAGGATATGTTACCTTCACAAGCGTCTAAAAGGGTGTTCATGAGTCTTAATTTATTATTTGATTCCTCCATCCAGACAAGTAGACGCTTGAGAGTTAAGCTCTGTTCTGTAAGGCTCGTGTGTTTGTCCAGTAACTGTTTTTCGACTTGGGCTTCAAGAATAGCGATCAATCGGTAATAGTCCGTCAATTGACTTTGAATGGCAGCGCAGAGTGACTGAACGACAAGACTTGTGGTATTATTGTGCATGTGGGTGTCGACAAATGCCTTTACGTGAATAAACAGCCAGCCTGTGGCCGTCAGTCGATAGATGAGTTCCTCCTTGGGTAGAGATAGAGGCAAAGTCTGCTTATTGATATGGTACTCGTTTGTTACGGTATCCAACCTAATGTACTGTCCATCAATTCCCTGAAAGACAAAGACAAGATCACGCAGGATCTCTGATTCTGATACTAACAGAACCTACGCATCAGAACGTTTTGCTCAATCCGTCTTGTTTTAAAATACCTTCTCTTCCATACATTTCTCTGGCTTTATTCAATTGAACAGCTGGAGGATCGTGGCGACTAAGTTGAGAAGGTTCACGAGTTAGCCTTCGTCGAATATTCCTCGGCGAATCGTTTACATGCACTTCATGAGGTCTAGACATCCGTGGTACTGGTTCCGCAATATTAGGCAGTCCAGGAGAACTGACAGACATGGGACTGGTTGAGTAGACAGACTATAGTTTCAAACAAGGTGAGAGAGATACTTTAAAAAAAAATGAACCCTGTTACGTTTTGTGTTGATCCTTGTTCCTGATACTGTGAAAGGTTACTGAGTAAGGATAATAAATAAAGAATAGACCATCTCTTTTTCAGTCGTTGCTACATTTGGAGAATAAGTAAAGATAAGAAATGGATAGTGGTAAAGCATACTGTTGAAGCCAGTTTATTATACAATATTCCAAATTGGAACGCTTTTGCTGATGTCGCATCTTGGTTGACTAATATGATGATTAGTAAACAAGAGTAAAAATAGAAAGAAAAATGTCAGTTACGTTGATCATAAATGTTATTTACAATGCTTTGCTCGTCTGCTATGATCGATGGTTCTCTTTGACTAATCAATAATAGGTCAGCAATAATAATAATTTTTTTTTGATACGATGAGCTCACCTCACGAGAATATGACTATATTTCTCAACAAGTTCCTGTTGTTGCTGAATGATCTCGTCTGAAATGTGCTGATAATCGCCAAAATGGTAAACGAGTTTTTGTATTGTGCTTGACCAGGACATTACTGTGGGCTCACTTGATGTTGAAATCAAGGAAGTACGTGTATTTCTTGCTGATGACCAATGTGCTGCACTTGTGAATTGACTCATTAAGAAATATAAAGAAGAAAACTGTTGAATAAAGTCAAGGAAAGAATGAAAGAGAGAGACAGAGAGAGTTGTCTTTACAAGTCTTGGAACAGTCACAGTTCACGGTAGGTTCACGCGAACAATGAACTTTACAATCATATTTATCACTCACAGGTTTTATTGATAGCAAGTAGATGTATGATCAGGGGAGAGAGAAAGGATAGATTCCCTGTCTTTCTCTCCCTCTTCCTATTTCTTCTTGTGAAGGGTAAACTAGTCTATGATATGTGTTCCTTATCTTTACAGAAAGGTTGCAAGTAGAAGCATTTCAAAAAAGTAGAATAAAGAAACCTAGGGTCATGTGTGCACGTATAAAGACTGTAACTGAGCAATATATTTTTTGTGGACAGTGGCCATTAGTGTCCTCGTAATTATCGCCTAACTCTAAATACCCGAAAAAGGGCATTCGGGGCCCGCTCGCTACATAGACATCAGCTTTCCAAATTGTATTGGATTATACACTCTGGTTTGGAAATGCAAAAAACTAGAAAAACGTAGTACGAGTAAATTTTGGTGCTTCCAAATGACAGTAGCAAAAGACTACTTAATGAAAATATGAGCTTTTCCATCCCTTTTCTCTCCATCAGTTTTACTGCTGTTAACTGATAAAAAAAAATATTCATTAATTATCAAACTTTAAGTATGTATTATCCTATAATTATCAAAGACAATTTACTAATAGAAATAAAAAGCTGTCTATAAAAAGCACAAAGTCTCTGTTTCTAGCTGTTTTAAAATTCAACTCTTTTCGGAAAGTAAATTCGTCATCGGTCGAAAACAAATGCACACTGAATCGAGAACAAAATTCATGTTGTATAAAATGTAAATTCGCCCTCGGATGCCCGTGTTGCCAAGATTATTTTGTAGTACAAGCCTTGACATATTTGGGTATATAAATGCACCCCAAATGCTATCTTCTTTTTTATTTCTTTTTCACAATTACACCAGAAATTATATGACAATGAACATTCAGTTCTTGTATGAAAATGGAAAAGGTTCTGCTGTCGATGAGTACGGCAGGCCTGAGCCAATGGATTATATTGTTGATGAGGAGCAGTTTCGACTCGAAACGTTGAGTTCTCATACACAATATTTAGATCAACTGCATTTGGAGAGCGAGAAAATGATAGAGACAATGCAGATCGAAGAGGTGAAACCTAGTAACGACGTTAAAATGAAAGAAACATCAATGAAACGAAGTTACACCCACTATTCTGATCAGGACAAAGTGAGGTTCTTCAAACTGTTATTTGAGAGATGCCTGAGTGCTGCAGCTGCAGCAAAACAGCTAGGGATTCACGTTCGTACAGGACAAAAATGGGCTGCACAATACGAGAAGGATCCTGACAGCATCTTTGAGAAACGGAGAAAAACTGGCCGCCCACGTATTCTCCATGAGGAACACAAAAATACTATTCTCGAGTGTATAGATGAGAATCCTTCCGTCGTCTTAGGCGAAATAATGAAAAAGTTAAAGCAAACATTTACAGAATTAAAAGTATCCAAAACTATGTTCGATTTTGTAAAAAGCCATTGCAATTTGTCTCTCAAAAAAGCTCGGCTTCAGCCCATAGACCGAAACAGCGAAGAAAAGATTCAAGAGCGCTTGGATTGGATTCGTAAATGGGATAAAACAGATATGGATTTTACAAAAAATTGTGTCTTTCTTGACGAATCTGCATTCCATATTAATCTGAAACGTAGTATGGCACGGTCAAAGAAAGGTTCCCCTGCAGTGGTTACAGTTCCCAAAACACGAGCAACAACCACAACCATTCTAGGCGCAATTTCTGCTGAAGGTTTAATAAAATGTAGTCTTCGGCTTCCTCAGCCTCCGTCCAGTAAAAAGAGAAAGAGAGGTGATGGTATTGGATATGTGAACAAAGGAACGGTTACCGGACACTATATTAGCTTTCTAAAAGCTATAATGGATGAAATGGACCAGTATCCACACATGAAAGGCCACTACCTCGTGATGGATAATGCTCCTATCCATACATCCGAGGACATAGCCAAATACGTAGAATCTCGCGGCTATCGCTGCGCTTACTTGCCTCCTTATTCCCCTGAGCTCAACCCAATTGAACAATTCTGGTCGGTGGTCAAGAGTAAAGTGAAACGAAACAAATTTCTTGAGAAGGGAAATGTTGATGACTCGGATCAGTGAAACTTCTAATAGTTTGAAACTAAGTGATTTTAAAGGAATTGTTAGACACTCTCCTAAATGCTTGGATAAATGTCGTAATAGACAAGCACTTTGAAGAAGTCGTTTCTACGAAAGCAAGGGCGTTGGTGTCAGAAACTAAAAAAAAAAAGACTGTTGTATTCAGCTTTAGTGTTATTGAAAAAAGGCTATTAAGTCGATGACTTGCGAATTAGATTCTTTATTAAGAAGAGCTGAATATTATTAATT